TATAAACTTGTAACATAAAAAACTACAAATTCTATATTGAAATGAGATTAATAGAATGGAGTTAGAGAATTATTTCACCAAATTCTCAATGACAATTTAATCATGTTCTGAACTCGTAAGTGTTTTGGTTGGTTGGTAATCAATTTCACTTAGTTTTAACCAAAGGTCAATTCCTTGACTCAATGATCCTAGTGTTATACTTAACCACCCTAATTCCTTAGGTGTAATTCATACGAATGTTTGAAAGGTTTTGCATCATATGAAAATTGGAAATAACAAGTGTAGAAAAGTATAAACTTGTAACATAACAAAACTACAAATTTTATATTGAAATGAGATTAATAGAATGGAGTTCTGCGCTAATTATTCCGAGTTTGTTTTCTTTTTTTTTTCTAATCTCAGAATTGTTTATTGCGATCGTGATTGACTTTTTTGTTGTTAGATTTCAAATTAGGACTCAATTGATGCTCTAATTTGATAATTAATACGAATTAGGTTAAATGATTATTTGATTTGATTCGTAACTCTATTCAATTAGATTATTCGATTGAATTAATAATTGAATTGGGTGATTGTTCAAACGTGGATTTAAATTTTAGATACTGTGATAGTTAGAGTTACACGCAATTGGTATTCTGTAGATTGATGTTTCTTAATTCATTTTTACTCACTTTAATTATGTTCGTAATTTAATTTGATTAATTGAAATTTTTAAAATCCCAAAAAACCTTATTTAGATTTTTTTAAAATAAAACTTAAAATTAAATTTGACTGAGAAGGTGTCTTTGTGAATCGACCTAGGTTTTTAGAAAACTTAGTTGTTTTGATAGCGACTCGGTATTGTCTATCAAATTAGCGCCATTGCCGGAGATACATTGTCGGTTTTGATTCGTTTTCGAGTTTAGTATTGCATTTTCACTTTTCAATTCATAATTTTGTTTTCATCTTTGTTTCATTTCTGTCTCTACTGCTACGATTCGATATTCTTATTGGTTCATTTTATAGGATGTGTTTAATTTTAATTTTCGTCAGTTTATTTTTGTTTTGTTAAATTTTGCTGTATTAGTGCATTTTGAATTTTAAATTTTAGATTTTTTTTTAATTTTAGATTTAGATTTTATATTTTTAAATATTAGATTAATAGCGTACTGTTGCATAATTGCGTGATTTGTAGAAATTTTGCTTAGATTTTACAGAGATGAGGAGCAGCGAATAAGGATCCCTTAGATTTGGTTTAGATTCAATTTTAAATTATAGTTAAGATTTGATTAAATTTGATTTGATTAGATTTAGTTTGTTTTGGATTTAAAGATAGGATTAATTTTTTTTAGATAGATTAGTTTTAAATTTATATTTAAAAAAAACTTTATCTAACCAATTTTCTAATTAAAATTAAAATTTTGAAATTTTTTATTTATTAAAATTTTTTTTGAAAATAAAATTTAATTAATATTTTTTAAAAATAAAAAAATAAAAAAATTTGAATGTCTATTTTTTTTAATCACATTTTCTATTGTAATTTATTTAGATGATTTTTATTTTTATTTTTTTCTTTGCACATTTTTATTATTTGATTTGTATAAGATTTGTTTGTTCCCTCACACACCACTAATCATGCATAACATGAGTGAGGCCCTATACCAAGGTCAGAGTAAACTTTAGGTTTAGAGGAGTTATGTAGTGATAACAATTTGGATGAACGTCCTGTTTGTCTATCACGAGAACTTTAGCTAGAGCTTATCTTATTTATATAAATCCCTACATCTTGTAGACTACTTATTGATTGAAGATGACTTTATGAAATTGATTTTAACTCTAGTGACATTTTATCTTTAGGCTTACAAATTACTCAAAGTGAGAATGCATGTCATAGATCAATAGGTTAGAACTTTAGACAACCTGATAGAATACTGTGGGAGCATATTCTTTTATTATTTTGCAATAATTTTTTTATTATTTTGTGAGCTGCGAAAATTATTAATATTATTTTATTTATTTTACGCGTAGTGCTCAAAATTTCAAATTCCATAGTTTAGAATATTTTTTTAATTTTTTTAATTTTTTTTAATTTTGATATCGTAAAAAAATCACATTTTTTTAAAAATATAAATAAATTTTTTAAATATAAAAATAGTGTATACGAGTTGACTTTGACTAATCTACTTCTTAGTGCATTAGTAGAACCAATTTTGGGCAATTACTTGCATTTATCCTGAGATTGAACGCACTTGTAACAAGTTAAATAGACTTAAATTAGAAGGTAATGTGCATAGTCATTGTAGTGATACCCTTGATAGTGTTGGTGTGCGCTCTAATTGTGAGCATTCTAATTGTGATCATTCTGATAGCATATCTGTGCATTTTGATATTATGACTAATAATCAACACAAAATGACTCTTAAAGAATTGGCTGCACCAGATGTCACATACCAATCTTTCAGCATCCAATATGCTGATGTAGATGCTCCATTTGAGTTAAAATTTGGTCTAATCTATTTGTTGCCTAAGTGTAATGGCAGTGCAGGTGAGGACCCTCATAAGCATCTGAAGGAGTTTAACATAGTCTGCTCAACAATAGGGCTTCAAGGAGTTTTAGAAGGCCACATTAAGCTGAAGGCTTTTCCATCCTCCTTAGATGGTGTAGAAAAAGATTGGTTATATTACCTGCAGCCAGAGTCTGTCACTTGCTGGATAGACATAAAAATGATGTTTCTAGAGAAGTTCTTCCCTACTTCCAGAGCAACCACAATCAGAAAAGAGATCAGTGACATTAAATAGTTCAGCCAAGAAAGCCTCTATGAGTACTGGAGAGATTCAAGAAGTTATGCACAAGTTGTCCACACCATCAGATCAGTGACCAGCTGCTCATTCAATACTTCTATGAAGGCCTTGCTCCCATGAAGAAGAGTATGCTTGATGCAGCAAGCGGTGGAGCTCTCATAGACAAGACACCATCTGCAGCTAGAGAACTAATTGACAACATTGCAAAGAACTCTCAGCAGTTTAATACAAGAGCCATGGCACCAATGAGAGAGGTGCATAATGTGCAGCAACCAACCCATATGGCAGCAAATTCCAGTAGACTTGAGAGCATAATTGATGAGCTCATTACTTTCGTGAGACAACTAGCTGTTGAGCAATAAACTGTTCCAGAAAGAGGAGTGACCAGAGACTGTCATATTTATACCTCCATAAAGCACACCTTAGATTGTTGTCCTTTGTTGGGTGATGGTAGGCAATAAGCTTCTGTCCACAGAGTTTTTAGTGATAGACAAGATCAATACAAAGTTTTGAATTTCCAGCAACCTTAGAGATAATAATAGTAGTACAAGTTCTAGTACCAACCTCATAATCCTGCCTTTAATGATCATCCAAATATGAGATATGGTACCTTTGAGCAGCAGCAGGAACTGACTAGTCAAGCAAGTATTGACTATAGACCACCCCCTATGAGGCAACAACAAACACAGCAAAGTTTTGAGCCTTCATTAGAGGATTTGGTTAAACAAATGGCCAAAAACAATATGTAATTCCAACAGCATGTTAATGCCTCCATTCAAGACCTGCAGACACAAATTGACAAACTTGCTACCACTGTAAACCAGTTCAAGTCTCAAGGTTCTGGACAACTCCTTTCTCAACCAGAAGTTAATCTCAAAAACGTGAGTGCCATAATATTGAAAAGTGGAAAGGAGTTGTTAGTCAACCAAAAAGATGAAGCGGTACAAGATGATGTGGCAGTAGAGAAGCAACAAAACATAGAGCAACAAACCATCCCTAATAGTTCAGAAATTATGCAGAAACTACCCCTTCCCTTTCCAAACAGAGTGGTCAAGTCAAAGCCACTAACAAACTTTGATAATGAGCTTTTTGAGACATTTAGAAGAGTAGAAGTGAACATTCTGCTTTTGGATGTGATAAAATAAATTCTAAAATATGCAAAATTCTTTAAAGAGTTATGCACTAATAAGAGGAGACTGAAAGTGGATGAAAGAGTCAGCATGGGGAGGAACGTGTCAGCTCTCATACAGCTCAATATGCCGCCGAAGTGCAAGGAATTACTATTCACACTGACACTATTTATGCATTTTTCACTGTTTACTGACACTGTTCATCATTTTTTTTAAAAACAATTTCAAACTCTATCTAAATCTATTTCAATACTAAATAATCCATCAATTAATAGTTAATAAGTACAAAATATTATAGATTACTTAATAATAAATTTACAGGCCTGACAAATACTAGTGCTTACATGACAAAAAAATGTACTAAACAGGGAATTAATTTTAAAATAATTCTATTTTAGAAATTAGTTTTTAAAGTTATATTATTAATATAAAAAAGCCTAATATTAGTGTAATAAATCAGATTATTTTTTATATATAGTATTTAAAAATTATATATAATAAAATACAATATTTTTTGAAAAATTATGAAAATATAAGATTTAAAAATCATTAATAACAATTTTTAGTACAAATATAAAAGTTCAATGATAAAAAATTAGACAAGTGATAACATTTTTTTAAATATTAAAATAATAAAAAATTTAAAAAAATTTAAAATAATAAAAAAATATTAAAAAATAAAAATGATGATTTTTAAAAAAAATTTAAAGTTTTCAACGACAATTTTTTTAAAAAAACTATATTTATATAATTTTGTTAAACATTTCATTCGGTAATTTTTTTTTTAAATTAGATAATAAAAAAAGTCTAATAAATCAGAACCGTTTGATAAAAATTAAATGGATCGCATCCTAGGTTGATGTTTCAAATCTGATTTGATCAAATTTAAAATCTTAAATCTGGATCGAACGATTTCAATCAATTAACAGACCAAGTGGTAACAATTTTGTATGTACAACGATGCACACGTGTGACTCAATAGCTCAACCTTAGTCCTTATCTTCGACCGCACCGAGGAATCAGCTATTCTAGAAAACCGGGTTTTCCTGCTGTGAAAACAAGCAACCCATAGAGATGAGAAAGACCAAAATGGTTACTGTTCACCGGTCGCACGTTGTAATTCCCTTTGAAGACACACCATCTTCGATTTTATCACTTTCCCACTGTGATCAAATCAAGCTCCCCACCCATGGATCTCAACTTTATCTCTACGCCAACACATGCATCAACAATTCTTCCTTCAAAATCTTGATGCACACTCTTTCAACCTCTCTTAGCAAAGTACTCACTCACTACTACCCCTTTGCGGGTAGATTGAGATGGATCCAGGGTGGCCGCATGCAACTCCTTTGCAACGCCAAAGGGGCACTTCTCGTGGAAGCCTCTTGTGATCATCAACTCAAGATGGAGGATTTGGGTGATTTCGCTCCCAGCCATGTTGTGGAACAACTTGTGCCAAAAATTGACTATGATGTCCCAATCGAAGAAATACCCTTGTTGGCGGCGCAGCTAACAAGGTTCCCATGTGGTTCCCTCATACTGGGACTGGCCATGTGTCGTGCTCTAGTTGATGGGGCTTCTGTTTCTGGTTTCGTTAAATCGTGGGCCAAACTCGCTAGAGGAGAGAGTTTAGATTCTAGTTTGATGCCAGTGCTTGATCGAACTTTGTTAGATTCGCGAAAACTGAATAAACCACCGCGTTTCGAACACGTTGAGTTTTTCCCACCACCCCTTTGGACAGGTAATTCGTTTCAACATACCAACATGAGACAACAACTTGTTACGGCAATATTGGAACTCACCAAAGGCCGAGTTGAGAAATTGAAGAAGAAAGCTTGTGACTTTGGCGAACGTCGACCTTTTACTAGTTTTGAGGTCATTAGTGGTCACTTGTGGAGGTGTGTTTGCAAGGTGCGTTATGTGGGTAATGGGGATCAACCAACGAGGTTGACTACATTGGTCAATTGTAGAAACCGTTTAAGCCCATCTCTTCCCAAGGCTTATTTTGGGAATGCAACATTTCCAACTGTGACACCAACTTGTTCATTTGATGACATCATGCACAAGCCTCTGAGTTATGCTGTTGGTAAACTAAGGGAAGCAATTGAGAGAATGAATGATGAATATGTAAGGTCTGCTCTTGACTATATAGCAAATTTGAAGGACATGCATTTGTTAAGGAACACATTTTACAACTCTTCAGGAAAAGGAAAATTTAATGGAGACCCGAATCTGTATGTGGTGGGTTGGACCAATTTTTCATACTATGATACGGATTTTGGGTGGGGGAAACCTTTGTGTACGCTTCCAGGGAACGTAAATTCTGATGGTAAGGCTTTCCTTATGGACAATGCTAGGGGTGATGGCTTCATTGTAGCCATTTGTTTGCAAGCATCCCATATTGATGCTCTGAAGAAGTTGTTTTACGAGGATATAGACAAGCCTAGTGCCAAATTGTGATCCCAAGCATCCCTGGATTTGCTATATGTTCTTAGTTTCAACTGAAATTGATTCTGTGATTTAGTTGATGATGTTCTTGAGCAGTATTTAGTATCACACACATGAAGGTGAGTTGTATAACTTGTGGCAGTTTAATCGTTTTCATTCTTCATGTTGTTTGCAATTTGCGAGTGATGGATTATTGCCTTGATAGCTTAGTAATTACGCCTGGTTTTGGTATTACAAAGAATATGTACTTGATGAAAAAAATTAATATAAAAAATAAATAAATTTTTTATTATAAATTAAAAATAATATAAATTTTTTAAATTTTAGAAAATTTAAATAAAAAACCTTTTAAAAAAAATACTAAAATATAAGTTATTTATTTTTAATTTACAAGAATCTTGATTTTTTTTTCAGTAGTACTGTTAGCTTGCACGAAGAGCCCTTCTGTTGTTGACTATCAAAATTGGACATTTGGGCTCAGAAGATGTTTAAGACTGTTATTCACTGCAATTATCCTAGGGGAGTTTATGGAGGAGAATAGAAGTTTTGTATGCTTTTTAATTTTAAAAATTAAAATATTAATTTTAAATATATTTATTTAAAATAAAAAAAATTATCCTTCACCCTCTTTTCCTCCAAAACTTTTCTTGCCAAACATTCCTTTAGGCTTTTGATTTTTCAAGTGCGTTTTGATTGAGAGAGAGAGAGAGAGAGAGAGAGAGAGAGAGAAGTGTTGTTTTAAACCAAAATGTGTAAAACTAAAAATATTATTGATTAGTCATCAAAATTTGAATATTTAATACGAATTCAAGCTCAATGTTTTGTTATCACATAAATATTAGAGAACATATATATTGATGGGAGATTTATTTAACCCAGTTTGAATAAATTTCTACAGAAATTCAAGAGAATAAAATCAGAATAAAAACTTTTTTTTATAAATTAAAAATAATAATGAAAAATTTCTCAAAAGATGGATCTTGATCGATTTTGAGACAGTGCCAATTACTATTTCAAGTGTTTTGTCTCCCTAAGCTAGCAAAATGGGCAGTCTCGTACGTTATCTTCATAATAATGTGTACACATTTTTAAATTATTGAAATCCTACTTCAATTGGCATATTGTGCAAGTTTTTGAACATCGTTCAATAAAGACCAATTTGCTTATAGTATGTTCGCAAATATAAAAATTCCAATTTTACCACAAAAGTTGCATTTCTTTTACACTTTCAGTCAAATTTTAGAAGTAAAAATTGAGAATTAGTAAACTCACTTTTTTTTATTTCATTTGAATAAGTCATAGAATATAATAACATGGGTTATGTCTTTTCTATTATCATGCTACCTTAAAGAGGTAAAAGTAAAGTCTCTTATTTCTAAGAAAACATTAGTGGTTATAGGTAGTTATGCTCTCTTATGGATCAAGATTTTCTCTTGTGACTAGACAGTTCAATTAGTGAATTTTCAATTTTACTTGATTGAATTGTCTAATTCGCATTAAAATGTGAAAGAATCTTGATCCACTCTCTTATAAATATAAATATCTTTCATTATTCAAAATCTTTCCATTTCAGTGAGTTCCACAAGGAGAGAAAAAATTTAGATAAAAAAATAGAATTTTTTTGATAAAGTTTTTTTTTTTATGTTGTTTTCTCCTGTTATTAGAAAAAAAAAAGTATTATTGTTCTCTCTTTGTAATAAGAGAGAAGTTGTACTATTCTTCTGCTTAATAAAAGTTTTAGTTTCAATATTTTTTAACTTTATTTTAATTTCAAAATATTTATTTATATACTTTGATACTTAAGAGTGGTATCAAAGTCAAAGATTGTTGGCTCACATTGCAAATATTATTTACCGTTGTGCATGTTGATCTAATTAAAAAAAATGATAAAAAAATTTGATATTGAGAAGTTCAATAGGAATAATTTTTTATTGTGGAAATTGAAGATAAAACAATTTTGAGGAAGAATAATTACTTAGCAACAATTGAAGGAAAGTGGTAAATATAACAAATGATAAGTAGAAAGAAATCGATGATAACATTGTTACAAATATGCATTTGGCAATAACTGATCTCATCTTATCAAGTATTGCAAAGAAGAAAAATGCAAGGGAGATTTGTGATTCTCTCATTAAATTGTTTTGAAAAACAACGTAAAGGAGTGAAGAAAACAAAAACATAGTGTTCTATTAGTGAGAGAAAATTTCATAAGTGTAATTTTGGGTTTAAATACTAGAGATTTTGGGTATACTCTATAGTATTTTGTAATACTACTACTATAGTAGGAAAAAAATCTCACTCAAATATCTTGTATTTTAATTATTACCTAGTAGGAAGAATTATTCATTCATTCTTCATAATTATTTGAAGTACGTTTCTGCTCACATCCACTAAGTTGTTCACACACCTTGAGTGTATTTAACTTGGATTTCCTAACAAGTGATATGAGAGACACTTGATTCAAAACGTCAATACCAAAATTTGATGGATTCAATGACTTCAACATATGAAAGATGAAACTGCAAGCATTAGTAGACTAATAAAGTCTAAAAAAGGCATTTGAAGGGAACACAAGTGACTAATGGCAAAAGTATGAAGTACAATTCAACTAAACCTAACATATAACATGTTGCGAGATGTTGTGAAAGAGAAGACTGCATATTCGTTATAAAAGACATTAGAAAGAAAAATATTTTGTAAATACTTTATCAAATAAACTCTACCAAAGAAATAGATTATACACGTTCAAATATTATGAAGAAAAACCAATTAAAAACCACATTGACGACTTCAATCTAATGATCACTGATGTGCAAGTGCTTGAAATAACAGTTGAAGAAATTGATCAGACTATGATCTTATTGACTTCATTACCTCTGCCTTATGATAATTTATGTGATACCATAATGTGTGGTAGATCTACCATTACAATCAAACTTGTCAAAAAGGCTTTAATGGTGAAGGAGCAACAAAAATTAACATATTGATCTGGTGTTGATAATCCTACAAATTGGTTGCTTGTGATGAGATGGCGTATAACTAAGAGAGAGGATCAAGAAGTGAAAGAAAAATAGATCCAAATTTAAATGTCACTAATCCCCAAAGTATTTTCATTATCATTATATAAGAAATATTCAAAGAAATTGTCTTAAAAGAAGAAAATTAGGAAATTTTGTCAATATAATAGTTGAAAGTTCTAAAGATAGTGTGTAGACTCAACCTTGACAATTAATACTAGTGACTTATGGAACGATTGAATCCTAAATTCTGGATTATTTCACATGATTCCTAATAGTCAATTTTTTCTCCTCGTATGAAAAGAGAGAAGGAAAGGTTAGATTAGTAAACAATAGAATTATTGGAGTTATAGGTGAAAGAGTGGTGTGAATAAGATGGATGATGGTACTGAAAGGACATATCAAGCATGACATGTATTGAATCTTGGGAGGAACTTAACCTTAATGAGTTCCTTAGACAACCAAGGGTATAAGTTTATTGGAGAAAATGGTTTCTTGAAAGTGACTAAAGGCGCAATGGTGGTGATGAAAGAAAAGCTACAAGGAAGAATTTATATATTTCATAGAAGTATAGTAATTAGGGTTAATGTTGGTTTAATTCTTTAAAAGATCTTATGATGATGTCACACAATTGTGGCATATGAGACTTGGTCATATGAGCAAGAAAGGAATGAATATACTTACTGATAAAGGAATATTGAAAGGTTTGAAGAATTGTAAACTCAATTTTTGTGAAAATTGTGTTTGAAAAGTATAAACTTAGTCATGCAAAACATAGAAGTAATGGGATGCTAGAATATGTTTAGTCAAATGTTTGGGGTCCAGCTCCTGTTAACTCATTGGACAAAGCCTATTATTTTCTTACTCTAATAGATGATTATTCCAAGAAGATATTGTTTATTTCTTGAAACACAAAGATGAAGTGTTCGTTAAATGCAAGCAATGGAAGACTATAGTCGAAAAGCAAATTCGTTAGTCAGTCAAGAGACTGAGAATTGACAATGGCAGAGAATTTGAGAAGTTTTGCAAAAATGTAGATATAGTGAGACATTGTATTATATCTAGAACACCACAATGTAACAACATTGCATAACACATGAATAGAAAACCTTTAAAGCATGAACATTGCATACAAATAAACAATGTACTTTCCAAATCATTTTGAGCTGAGACACTCAATACAAGTGTATACCTAATAAATAAATCTCCATCAACTGCAATTGATCTAGATATTCCTTAAGAGGTATGGTTTGATCAACTTGTAAACTATTTTAATTTAAAGATATTTCATTGTCTTGCATATGCTCATGTTAGTGATGGTAAACTTGAGCCAATTACTAAAAGGTGTATATTTCTAGTGTATGCATGAGAGGTGAAGGGCTATAAATTGTGGTGTACAGAAAAGTCATGTTCACCCAAGGTCATTATCAATAGAGATGTCACGTTTAATGAGAGGACAATGACAAATAAAAAAGAAGAATCTTATAAAGATTAGATAGAAATAGATCATAGTGTTGACAAACAAGTGGAGCTAGATATTGATGTTGAGAAGATGGGGTGAAAAAAAGATATAAATCAACTGAGTACTTTAGGCATTATTTAACCTGAAGTAGAATAATAGGATGAATCTGGTAGTAAGAATACTAGTGAAGAAACTAGAGAAGAACCATACAATATTTCTACTAGTAGGGAAATAAGACAAATTTAAAAATCTCAAAGATATTTGAGTTCTTTTACTTGTACACTTGACTCATCAGAAATAGATACTATAGCATTTGCTTTTGCTATAGCAAATGGCACAATAAAAGATGAAATTTCTACCTATCATAATATGATAGACAATAATAAGTCAAAGAAATGACTAATAACAATGAATAAAGAGATTGAATCTCTTTCAGAAAAATAAGACATGGAAGCAAGTGAAATTTCTTAAGGGTTAAAAAAATTGTTGCATGCAAATGGATCTTTAAAAGGAAAGAAGGAATCCCTAGTATTGAACTTTCAAGGTTTAAGGCAGGATTAGTAATAAAGGGTTGTACTCAAAAGGAAGGTGTTGACTTCCATGAAGTATTCTCTCTTGTAGTGAAGCATAGCTCGATCAGGATCTCCTT